TGCGGAATAACATGGCATGCACCTGAAAAGTGTTCCTAGGCTAAGTTGCATGCCGTTGTTAATGGGCGACCATTTGGTCTACGAAAAGGCAGCCATAAGACAAATTAGCAATTGTTGGGGGATTTTACACGCCCTAAAATCTTCCAAAATGACCCCGCATAGAAATCTGGAAGAAGTCCTTTCAGGGTTGACTCGAATGACCCACAAACGACCCTGAAAGACCGCTTCTAAGGGGTTTGGGACTGTAAAAATTTGCCGAGACAGCACACGCTTTGCTTGCTTGTAGGAACTGTGTGAGATTGACTTGGCGTGGATTATTTCATTTGATTTACACCATGCTGACTCGACATGTGTGGTGTGACGGAATACAGAATCCACTCGAGAGAGGGAGCCTCCCCTCCCCATTTCTGCATATCCACCTGGCGATTGCCGCTGCGGCAAGACACTGTCTAGCAGTGTCCACGCGCATACTCCGACCTCCCTTCCGACCGCTCCTTCCACCTCTACTTCCGACCTCACTCCGACCTTCTGGAAGGGAGAGTCCCTTTCCTCCTTTCCGACTTCTCCCTTCCGACCTCTCCCTTCCCCGTCGTCGCCGTCATCCTCCGATGATCCTCCACGGTTGCCTGTGGGGCTCCTGATTTTTGTAGAGTAGAACCCCCATCCTCCGCTGTCAGCGTCACTCCACTCGTCGTCATCACCGTTTCACTACGCACTCCTCCGCTGTCAGCGTCACTCCACGTCCGTCATCACCGTTTCACGCAGTGACTGCCTCGCCCACCCCACTAAATGTTGACGTCGTAGGACACTACTTATATTGGCACTGGCAGTAGCGCCAGAGAGGATCTTCGCGGTCTGAAGTTGAATTCCGGCTAGTAAAAGGCGCTCAGCGCCCGCCGCCATTTCTCCCCGCCGCCCCTTGAGAAGTCGACTACAGCTGCAGCTGCGATGAAGCAGCAGCGAGCATCATGGCACCTGCTTTCCGCCTTGAAGGCGCCCGCCGAGCTCGCCTCAGCGCTCGCCATGGCGCTCTGGCTTGTCGCCGCCTTCAACGCCTCGTCCTGCGACGCGCAAGTGATCAATGCTTCTCAAGGTAGTAAAAGTACTACCGCTCGCCGTTCCATGCACCCCTCCCTCCCTCCCTCTCTCCCTCCCTCCCTCCCTCCCTCCCTCCCTCCCTCCCTCCCTCCCTCCCTCCCTCCCTCCTCCCTCCCTCCCTCCCTCTCTCCCTCCCTCCCTCCCTCCCTCCCTCCCTCCCTCCCTCCCTCCCTCCCTCCCTCCCTCCCTCCCTCTTTCCCTCCTTCCCTCCCTCCCCCCCTCCCTCCCTCCCCCCCTCCCTCCTCCCCTCCCTCCCTCCCTGAAACAGGAGCTACGGCGCTGCTGCCGCGCACGGCGCGGCTGGCCTGGCCGGCCATCGCGACCAAGGAGAGGGCGAGCGCTGTAGCGAGATTAAGACAAGAGTTGTCACGCAGCTGGAGGGAACTAGGCTAAGCCGAGAGAGAAGCCTAGCTTCAGAGACGTCGACGAGAGAAGATAGGAAGATTGATTCCAAGAAGATAGAATTAGAAGGCGATCCTAGGAGAGAGGAAGCGCGACTCGGACGGAAACCCGTGTCGCCACTCTTTTAGCATGGCATCTTGGCATAGCGCCTCGATGCCATGCTCTGCTGTATTCTAAGGTTTGACGGGGATAGGAGAGTGTTCTCGAGGCTAGCAAGTGCAGAGTTCGGAGCTAGCTAAGAGATACAACTTCTCCCATTCGGAGATTCCCATGGATGCTCGCATGGTGAATCCCGTCTTGTTACACTCCCCCAAGTCCCCTCCCTCCCTCCCTCCCACCCCCCCTGCCCTTTCTCTTCCCCGGCGCCCGCCTCGCACACTATCATGTCAGTTGGTGTCACAGATCACAAGCTGTCAAGCTAGTGGCGATTGGTTTACTCATACCACTCATCTCATCTCTTTCGCCCTCTCGCGTCAGCCTTGTTTCTCAGAGACATCCAGACGGCATGGGGGCCGTTCCCGGGGTGGAAGGTGGGAGGCAAGTGCAGCACTGCGCAAGGAATCGAGTGTGACGCTTCAGGCATGATAACGGCAATGTGAGTGCACACGTTGGTATCTGGGATGGACTGGACACCCCTTCCATCCTCGCACCATCTGCTGCCTGCCACAGCTGCTTCCCGCAGCTCCCAGCCGATCACTCCCACCTCTCATTCTCTCCATCCTTCTACTCCCCATTGAAGCTTCTGAAATCGCTCTAAAATTCTCCCTTGATGCACCAAAGCATCCATCCCCCACGCCAGGCTTGTCGTCTCGTCATCATCTTAACGACCGTGTTACTCACCACCGTTTTATCCAAGCGTGTGTGTTGCTCACCTTCCTCCTCTCACGCCCTTACCCATCACGCCCAACTGACTCACCTCACAAGACTCTTTACGGTTCCGCTATCACGGCACTCACAGTGCTGTAAGAGGCACACTGGGTTTGCTCCACCTGCGTGCTGCTCTGCCCACTGGGTGCTGCATGCCATGTGCGCATCACTGCTGGCACTCCTCCACTGCCCATGCACTCTGCATGCCCACTCCTCCTTCTGTATCCCTTTGCCACTCCTCAATGGTCCCTGCTGCACCAACCTTCTGCACGCGCTTCATTTGGATTCACGTGTCTATTGTTTAAGCAGAACTCACAACTGTCACTGTACAATCTCAACCGGTACAATCTCGCTCCTCTCCATTTGCCTTGCAATAACCCTTCCGAATTGATCATGCCTTCCAAGTTCACACCACCCATAATGGACAGAAATTTGAGCCTCACCCAACTCACTCACCCCCACCCCACCACACAGGGATCTTGGCTCTAACTCCCTCACGGGCATCATTCCCGACAGCATCTCCGCGCTCACGGCACTCACGTCCTTGTAAGAGGCACACTGGGTTTGGTCCACCTGCGCGCTGCTCTGCCTTTTGGGTGCTGCATGCCATGTGCGCATCACTGCTGGCACTCCTCCACTGCCCATGCACTCTGCATGCCCTCTCCTCCTTTCGTATCCATTTGCCACTCCTCAATCGTCCCTGCTGCACCAACCTTCTGCACACGCTTCATTGAATTCACGTGTCTATTGCTTCAGCAGAACTCACAACTGTCACTGTACAATCTCAACCGGTACAATCTCGGTCCTCTACATTCGACTTGCAATAGCCGTTCCCAACTGATAATGCCTTCCAAGTTCCCGCCACCCATAATGGACAGAGATTTGAGCCTCTCGGCTCATCACACCCAACTCACTCACCCCCACCCCACCGCACAGGGATCTTGGCTATAACTCCTTCACAGGCTCCATTCCCGACAGCATCTCTGCACTCACGGCACTCACATTCCTGTAAGAGGCACACTGGGTTTGCTCCACTTGCCTGCTGCTCTGCCCACTGGGTGCTGCATGCCATGCGTGCCAAGAAAGAGGCTTTGATTTGATTGATTATGAAAGAAAGCTCTTGTCCTTAAGCACAAGCAGGGTTGGTATGGGATGAGGAAGGGAAAGGATGGGGTTGGGATTCCAACCAAATCTCAAATGTTGAGTTGACAGAGATGTTGGATCACGTGGGGAATTCCAACCAGAAAAGGCTGGGATAACAAATCTGTACCCAACCTACAAATAACATACGTAATATAAAATTTAGTATACAAATGTTGACAACCTACTAATTCTAGTAACACATCTAGTGCAGGAAGGCCGAACACCCATGGAGGTAAGTAGGCGGTAGTGGTCCTGGCTAGGCTTGAGCGAAATAGCGAACCCCCGTTCGGTTCCTCACGAACTCATTGTGATGAACCAAACGGGGGCTTTTTTTGCAAAAAACGTTCGGGCGAACGCGCCCCCGTTCGTGGCGTTCGCCGCGTTCGCTCTCGCGTTCGCGTCAAAACCAGCGCGTCAAATTTGACGCGCTGGTTTTCTACTTAGGCAGGAGATCAACATTTGAGCTCAACATTGACATTCACGATTCCTCTAGCCTCCGCACCCACACGCGCGTTAAATACAGCTGTTTAAGACGTTTTCGTCCTAGGTTAGATAGTTCATCCGCTAAGTTCTTAGGCTGGAGTGAGGAGATTTAGATCTAGCCCGCAAGGAATAGGTTTCGCAAACATGCCGCACTACGGAAGTAAGACAGTGGACTGGGGTTGGGAGGTGCAGTGCGGTACGATGGGTTTTGAGTGGGGTGGACTGGTTGGGCGAAATTTTGAAATCAGTGCAGCGAGAAAATTCATCCGCGACAGTTCGAACCTTAAAGCCGTTGACCCAAATTGCACAAGTTCTAAAGCCCAAGACCTGAATTACTCAACGGAAGTCAACTGAGTATTTCTAGGTTCGGCGGGCTGCCAGTTGGAGGTTCGGATGGGTTGAGTGACAGGCGAAGCCTCAAAAACACTTTGCGACTGAAAGTAGTTCGCCACAAACTCCCTACATGCTGATTGGTTGTAAAAAGCAGGCAGGGCCCTTCTTCCCAAACTCGACAAACCTGAGAAGCAACGTGCCAGGGAAACTGTGCACGGTTTGAGCAGCCACACATGCACTCGAACAAACATATTAGTTGCTTAGTCCACTTCAGCAGGGCGCCACCTTAGATTCTAGAAATACGCGGAATAGCCGTAGGGAGCGAATGTCCGTGTGGACTGGACCAGCAAAGTGCGATGCTTAGGGTGAGGATAGAGGAGGCTGTTACTAAATGCCAGTGCGGGCGTGAGTTAGCGAGACACATCGAGGCCTGAACTGGCGATTTATTCAGAGAGTCTAAAAGTATAGGCTAATACACAAACACTCGACCACGCTCGCTTCCCATAGGTCACAGGGCGGACGTATCCATCGTCTGCAATGCGTAGCCATCTTACGCCGCGCGTCGGAGCCGATTAGAAACAAACGCGCTAGAGACAGCCTCAGCATCTTGCCTCCCGCCCTGCCCGGGAAATCCCCTCCCCGCCATTTGGTCGCGCCTGCCTTTCACATATCGCATGGTGAGAAGCTTCCCGTCGCCCTCATTCCATCTTCCCGTCGCCCTCATTCCATCTTCCCGTCGCCCTCATTCCATCTTCCCGTCGCCCTCATTCCATCTTCCCGTCGCCCTCATTCCATCTTCCCGTCGCCCTCATTCCATCTTCCCGTCGCCCTCATTCCATCTTCCCGTCGCCCACATTCCATCTTCCCGTCGCCCTCATTCCATCTTCCCGTCGCCCACATTCCATCTTCCCGTCGCCCTCATTCCATCTTCCCGTCGCCCACATTCCATCTTCCCGTCGCCCTCATTCCATCTTCCCGTCGCCCTCATTCCATCTTCCCGTCGCCCTCATTCCATCTTCCCGTCGCCCTCATTCCATCTTCCCGTCGCCCTCATTTCATCTTCCCGTCGCCCACATTCCATCTTCCCGTCGCCCTCATTCCATCTTCCCGTCGCCCTCATTCCATCTTCCCGTCGCCCTCATTCCATCTTCCCGTCGTCCTCATTCCATCTTCCCGTCGCCCTCATTCCATCTTCACGTCGCCCTCATTCCATCTTCCCGTCGCCCTCATTCCATCTTCCCGTCGCCCTCATTCCATCTTCCCGTCGCCCTCATTCCATCTTCCCGTCGCCCTCATTCCATCTTCCCGTCGCCCTCATTCCATCTTCCCGTCGCCCTCATTCCATCTTCCCGTCGCCCTCATTCCATCTTCCCGTCGCCCTCATTCCATCTTCCCGTCGCCCTCATTCCATCTTCCCGTTGCCCTCATTCCATCTTCCCGTCGCCCTCATTCCATCTTCCCGTCGCCCTCATTCCATCTTCCCGTCGCCCTCATTCCATCTTCCCGTCGCCCTCATTTCCCGTCCCGTCGCCCTCGTTTCCCTTCCCGTCGCCCTCATTTCCCTTCCCGACGCCCCCATTTCCCTTCCCGTCGCCCTCAATTCCCTTCCCGTCGCACTCATTTCCCGACCCGGCGCACTTATTTCCCTTCCCATCGCCCTCATTTCCCGTCCCGTCGCCCTCATTTCCCTTCCCGTCGCACTCATTTCCCTTCCCGTCGCCCTCATTTCCCTTCCCGTCACCCCCCATTACCCTTCCCGTCGCAAACATTACCCTTCCCGTCGCCCTCATTTCCCTTTCCGTCGCACTCATTTCCCTCGAGTCCTCCCTCCCCCTCATCCGCCCTTCCTCCACCTCTCCATCCTCTCATCCTCCCTTCATCTCATCCTCCCTTCCTCTTATCCGCCCTTCCTCTCATCCTCCTTTCCTCTCATCCACCCTTCCTCTCATCCTCCCTTCTCTCATCCTGTCTCCCTCTCATCCTCTCTCCCTCTCATCCGCCCTGCGTCTCGACCTTCCTTCCTCTCGTCCTCCCTCCCCGTCTTCCGCCCTCCCCCTCATCCGCCCTCCCTCTCATCCTCCCTTCATCTCATCCTCCCTTCCTCTTATCCGCCCTTCCTCTCATCCTCCTTTCCTCTCATCCTCCCGCCCTCTCATCCGCCCTTCTCTCATCCTCTCGCCCTCTCATCCGCCCTCCCTCTCATCCTCCCTTCATCTCATCCTCCCTTCATCTCATCCACCCATACTCTCATCCTCCCTTCCTCTCATCCTCCCTTCCTCTCATCCTCCTCTCCTCTCATCCTACCCTTCCTCACATCCTCTCTTCCTCTCATCCTCCCTTCCTCTCATCCGCCCTTCTCTCTCTCATCCTCCCGCCCTCTCATCCGCCCTTCTCTCAAGGGCTCGCCCTCTCATCCTCTCTCCCTCTCATCCTCTCTCCATCTCATCCTCCCTTCAAGAAATCCACCCATCCTCTCATCCTCCCTTCCTCTCATCCTCCTCTCCTCTCATCCTCTCTCCCTCTCATCCGCCCTCCCTCTCATCCTCCCTTCATCTCATCCTCCTTTCCTCTCATCCTCCCTTCCTCTCATCCGCCCTTCTCTCTCTCATCCTCTCTACCTCTCATCCTCCCGCCCTCTCATCCGCCCTTCCTCTCGTCCTCCCTTCCTCTCGTCCTCCCTCCCCTTCTTCCGCCCGCCCCCTCATCCGCCCTTCCTCTCATCCAACCTTCCTCTCATCCGCCCTTCCTCTCATCCTCCTTTCCTCTCATCCGCCCTTCCTCTCATCCTCCCGCCCTCTCATCCTCCTTACTTCCCTTCCTTTCGCCCATGGCCCCATCCCTCCACCTGCTTTTCTCGCTGCGTTCACCTTAGGTCTCCCACTGCACTCCAGTCATGACAACATGCACCCCACTCTCCCTTCCACCCTACCTCCGTGCCTCCCTACCTACCTACCATCCCATTCCATTTCCATTCATCCCCCCTGCCTCCTTCCCATCCAGGCTTCGATGGCGAACCATCCAGTGTCGAGTGTGTGTAGCGCATTCAACCAGCGTCATTATACTGTCCACTGGAAACTCAGATCCCCAGTTTGCTACCTGCGTGTGGGGCTAAGCGTGCTTATGCCTGACAATAAAGTGGCTACGCATAACGATATATTATCTGTCTACATGCAAGCTGCGCCACATGTCACAGAGAGGCTAATGAGGGCAGCAAGACACGCAGGTAACCATGGGGAATATGGGTATTTGTCACTTGATACAGTGCTGTAATGTGTACTCCACGTCGTGTACAGTGTGTACTGTGCTCACACGTTGATGTGCTTGCATGGTTTTGCCACAGGTGCGGGTCCTGGGGGAGAGAGCGCTGGCCAAGTTGTGAATTTGCATCTTGAGTCCGACTCGAAGGCCTTCTGGCAGCGCATGGGGAGAGGGACCACAACGGTGGAGGATCTGTTAGCGAGGCCAGATAGATCCCTGATAGGTGTAGAGTTTAAGTTTCCAAAATGGGAGAGAGGAAAAAATGGCGAGCCTAGAAGAGTAGAAGGAAACGGATGGGGCGGGGAACGCAACCAAGCTGCAGCAACCGTCCTGCCGGGTGAAGGTAAGAACCTAGTTAGATGCTAGTGCGAAACATGCGTGCTGCGTTTAAACACCGGATTCCCAGGCGAATGAATATCGTTCCACCAAAAACTTCCCTCCCCCTCCCAGCCCTGTGGGCCTGATGCTTGTTTCCCCCGCGGCACTGCCAAGACTAAAACGATCCCGTCCCCCCTGCCACCTGCACTTCTATTCTGCCTATTATCTCTCACCAACCCTAAATCATATTTCTGTCCCTATTCGCTGAATTCTCTTCCCCGTCGCACTGCCCGGAATTCTGTCGCCCCCCGCTCTGCCCTGGATTCTTGTCCTTTCCACCCTCCCCCGACCTGCCTTGAATCCCTTCCCACTCGACTCTTGAGGGATTCAGTTCCCTCTCAACCATCCTGAATTCTGCACTTCATTCCTAAAGTCTCTTCCCCCCATCTCGAATAATGCTTCCGCCCGCCCTAATTCTTGTGAAGAGCGCTGCATGTCAACAGAAACCCCACAAAGAAATGAGGACGGACATGGGCCGTGCTTGCCGGCCGAGAACGTGTATGGGGTTGAGGGGGTGAGTGTCGAAGACAATACACAACCGCGAGGCGCTCATTCGAGCGAACAAGCGGGTGGCCCTTCTGAGGGGCCAAACAGGTACAAGCAATAATTGTGTGTTGAAATAATAACCCATATGTTCTTTTCCACATTTATTAATAAGATGGTCAGTAGCACGTGCACACCCTCAGAAAAACCAGTCCAGTTTCTTATCCCGCTTGATTTCTGTGCATGCAGACAGGATGCTGGCAGCGTGACGCGCAAGCGTCGTTGGCCTCGTGGTTGGCCAAACCCCCCAAATTGGGAGGATTTTCCTGCCGACATGGTGTGTTTTCTCGATCCGAGGGTGATGGTATCGTTCTTTTGTGGTCGCGCCTTAGGCACGTGCGTGAGGTCTGCGTGCAGAGGTGCAATGCAACTTGAATCGTGGAAGCGGTCATGGGCATGTCTGGGGTGTCAGAATGTTATCTTATGCTCTAGCCTGTAGTGGGGTGCTCTATAGCGAGTACAACCCTTCTAGGGTTTGCTATTTGTATCCTCATTCTTGCTAGTGCAACCCCTTTTTCTCTCTTCTTCTCTCTTCTTTCTTCTAAACTTTAACATGGTATCAGAGCAGGTCGATCCCCTTGGATCGATCCTGTGGGTGGGCTCACCACCTTGTTGCTTCCGCTGCAACTGCTACTGCTACTCTCTGTGCCGCACGCCCCGTGGCGTGCGGCAGTTTTTCTTCCCGCCGTGCGCCCCGAGGCGCGCGGCGGTTTTCTGCCCGCCGTGCGCCCCGAGGCGCGCGGCGGTTTTCTGCCCGCCGTGCGCCCCAAGGCGCGCGGCGGTTTTCTGCCCGCCGTGCGCCCCGAGGCGCGCGGCGGTTCTCTGCCCGCTGTGCGCCCCGAGGCGCGCGGCGGGCTTCTGCCCCGTTGCTCGGCGCGTCGCCCTCGGGAGGCGCTGCGACGGGCGACGGGGACCCGCGCGTCGCCCCCCCGTCGCCCGTCGTGGCCTGCGCGCGGCCCCTGCAGCCCCGTCGCGCCGCCCAGGGGAGCCGCGCGCGGCCCTGCTGTCCCGTCGCGCTGCCCAGGGGAGCCGTGCGCGGCCCCTGCTGCCCCGCCCCGTCCCGGACCTGCCCCGGCCCCGACCTGCCCCGGCCCAACTCCCGTCGCCCGTCGAGGCGACGCTGGGGGGGGCCGCTTGCGGCCCCCCCCAGCGTCGCCTCGACAGGCGACGGGAGGGGAGTATGCAGGGGGCCGCGCGTCCCCCCCCCCCCCCCCCCCCCTCCTACCTCCCTACCCTGTTTTTAGGGTTTGGGGGGTGGCGGTTGGGGGGTGGCGGGTGTGTGGCGTCGCCTGCTCCTCCTCCTCCTCCGTCTCCCTGTGCTGCAGCTGCCGCTGAGGGGGGGTGGACGTGTTGGAGCCGGTGGAGTGGTACTAAGGGGGGGTGAAGGGGGAGTGGAGCTAGCGGTGTAGCAGCGGATATGTGCCAGGGGGGAGTGGGATAGTTTGGGGAAGCTGAATGGAGGTTGCCGTCGTGTCGCCAGCAGCACCTGTATTCCGGGGACTTCGTCCGGTAGCCCAGTCGTAGCCAGCTGTGCCAGCCGCCCGTGGGTCCGTTGCTCGTCTGCCGCTACTTTAGCCGCGGGGCCTGTTACTCCTGTATTCCGGGGACTTCGTCCGGTAGCCGCTGTGCCAGTCTGCCTCCTGTTGCCTGTGTGTCTGCAGCTTCAGCCGTCGCCTCCTATCTCCTCTCCTCTCACTCTCTCTCCTCCTCCTCACTTGCCCGTTGTGACTACCACTAGCTTTGCTCATAATTGTGAACTTAAACTATTGCTTCTTGAACTTGTGCTCAGAATGTGTGGTGACATTGTGATCCACCCTGAGCTTGTACTCCTTTGCTTACTCTGCTGATTACACCCCACTTTGGCTATGGGGGTGTGTCAGAATGTTATCTTATGCTCTAGCCTGTAGTGGGGTGCTCTATAGCGAGTACAACCCTTCTAGGGTTTGCTATTTGTATCCTCATTCTTGCTAGTGCAACCCCTTTTTCTCTCTTCTTCTCTCTTCTTTCTTCTAAACTTTAACATGGGGTTGATGTGGTTGTGCAATGTTTGCTCAGCCAAGGAAGAATTATGGTCAAGTAGTCGAGTGAGAGATGACCTACCTCCCAGCAAGCGTGGTCCACGTAGTCCGCCATTGATGGGTAAGTTGATTGGAGCATTCGCTCTTGCCGGGATCGGGTATCAGCAGATGTGGGAGGTATGTCGCACCCTCGGCGTGCCTAGGCCAGGGCATGAAACATATTACATCGGTGTTAATGATAGGGAGAATGCAGAGATGGATAGGGGGAGAGGGTGAGGGGCGGAGATAATGCATCGGTGGATAGGGGGAGAGGGTGAAGGGCGGAGCAGCAGGAGCGGGTGGAGGACTTTGACGTGGGGGGCATAGAGGCATACAACATGCACAGGGGTGACTGTTGAAGGACGGAGGGTTCTCCTTCGGAATCCCACCTATTCGCTGCAAGTTCTTGGTGAGGAGGGGGAAGGAAGGTTCCATTGCACGCCCCGTGTGTCCTGGCCATAGCAGTTTTATCTCCCTGCCTTTCGCTCCCGGTTCCCATTTCTCCGTCAATTTTTAACCGATCCGGGAGAGGGGAGCACACCCATTTCTTCTGTTCCGCCCATCCCTCCTGTCCCATCCTCTCTTGCCTGCCCGTCCTCTCTTCCCCGTCCCATCCTCTCTTCCGTCCCACATTCCCATCTCCCCCTGCATGTCAGCCAACGGAGAGCATGCTGCAGATCTGTGAAGAGAGTGGCCGAGACCTCGCCAGGGAGGTGAGTCATTGCCCTGTCTGCTCTGCATTGCTCATGCTGTCCGTAGTGCACAGAATGCCCGCCGTGGCCGCCCTGTCCGCACCGCACGCACTACACTGAAAGGCACTTCAAAATGTACAGTCAGCGCTGACCCTAGCACTCTGCACCAATTTAAGCATTCTTGTTTCCCGATCACCTTTCTCCACGTCTCTCCACCTCTCTCGGCCCTCCCGCCTCGATCTGTGCTCAGACCCGCAAGGGCAAGGCCAAGCTGCGCAGCACATCAGCCAAGTCACCACCAGCCATTTCCCTTGCTCCCTGCTCACCCCTTCCTCGCCTAACTCCGTCTCTACAGTACTGGCTCCTTCCTTCGATACCACCTCTTCTCCCCCATCTCCTCTCCCTGCCAACATCGTGCCACTCCCCCCCTCCCCCTGCACAAGCACTTGCTTCCAGCCTGTCTTTCCCCTTCTCCTCTCGCAGCCTACCGTATCCCTCTCACGTGTGGGTAATAATGAGCCATAGCCGCACAAGCTGTGGCAGGGTGACGAACAAAGCAGTACACACCGGCAGCTTCCAGGAGACGCATTGTCTTCAATGGTGCAGCATGGAATGTCTTTCATGCCTGTGCCATAATAAGCGACAGCGGCGTCGCCACTGTATGCTCTACTCGCTCCCCCATGGCTAGAAGCTGGGAATTGAAACATTCCCTTCCCCATCCAGTAACATACTTGACTGCACACAAAGAGCTACTTCATTGATCTGGTTGTCGCTTTGCTGTGATGGTCATCCATCTACCTATCACACTATTGCGGACTGTGTAAAAAGAGTAACACATGTAAATACAATAAGTTGTTCCCGATAACCCTCCCTCCCGCACTAAAAATCAGTAAATTCCAGACTCCTGAGTCGCCAGGTGGACAATTGACGATTGTCTAGCATCGATTGACCTCATCCCAAAATCAATCTCGTCAGGGATGACCCATTCCAGGTTGAACCAGTCCACATCGCCTTGACTACATTTTCTGTAACCCACGCCCGTTGGCTCGGGGTAAAGCGAGCCGATCACGACGTGAATTAGCCATGGCAAAGTCACCTGTGCATACTGATGATCACCTAACAAGGCAGAGTATTGAATGTAGCAACGAAAACGATGGTTCTTTGCCCCCATAGGTTGACCATCCATATCCTCATCCGTGTTTTTTCCCAAGCACACCCTCAGAATGCTCGCCACACTAATTCTCTGACTCCCGGGGCCCTCCTCGTCCGACAATCCGAGCCAATGTCGCGCCCAAGCGTCAAGAACACGATATTGCTTGGCATATCGCGCCTCAAACTCAGATATGGACCACCGTTCTTTTGCATATTGAACCTGTGGGGGTAGTCCCGTTGGTTGCACAACTCTTCGAGATCGAACTCTGGGAAAGGGATGCGTTGTGCTCGCGGCAACCGAACGAGTATGGGCGGAGAGGGTGCCCGTACTTGCCGTGACCATCGACTCCGGTCCACGTCGCCGACCCCTCTCCTCCTCCTCATCCTCGGAACCCTCCTCCCCAACCCTGAATCCAAGCGTCAGCCGTCTCCGAGGAGTACGTCGCCATGATGACATGGCTGATGAGGTGTGTGGTTTAGAGTGTGAGAAACGAGAATATCAGGCAGAAAAACAAGAGAGAGAGAGGGGTTAGGGAGTGAAAGGGGAGGGGGCGGGGGGGCTTCGGTTTCGGATTACGCAAGTCAGTGAAGTGAGTTGGATGTGAAGGGGAGGGTGGGCAGGTCAGGAACTGCACGACAGGTCCGGCAGCTGGACGAGGGAAGGAGACCGTATAGTTGGTCCTCCGGATCGGAGGACCATGAGAACGAACTCTGATAAGGTTTGGAGCAGCGTAGCAAAGGAAGAAAGGGGTGCCAAACCAAAACCACGAGTGAAGGTAGGGGTGCTGGGAAATAAAGGGGCGTGGACTTACAGCGCAAGGACTGAAGCCGGGTTCACAAGCCGCTGTGAAGCAAAGGAAGAAAGGGGAAGAGAGAGGAATGGGAGGGGACGGGGCAATTGCGGATGGGAAAGAGGAGAAGTGAGAGGAATAGTGGTACTATGTGTGCGCCGGTGACGGGAGAGGAATAGGAGGGGACGGGGCAAGTGCGGATGGGAAAGAGGGGTTTGCAGATTTAATTACAAAGAGGTTCGGAGGATGGCAAGGGAGAGATGGCAGATGGGAAGTAAGGCTAATCAGAAACTCAGGATGCGAGGGTGCTGCGATGGAAGAGAGGAGAGGTGGGATGGAAGGGATTGAGGATGGGCAACCCAGAAAGGGGACGGCATGGGAGCTAGAATGGCACCCACGGCAACTCGGTATAATGCAGGGGGATTTCCAACATGGGAAGGCGGTGAGGGTGCTCGCGTATGAGCTTGTGGGACGCGGGGACCCTAAACCCCTAAACTAATGTGAGAGAAGTAGGAAAGGGAGAGTGATGGTTCAGTGTGGAAAAGGGCAATGGGACGGCTAATAGGGGTGATGGAAAGTAGTGTTAAGGGGCTGTGATTTGGAGGAAAGAAGGCAGGGAGAGCACGAGAGGAATGAAGCATCAACCGAGGGACCATATTGAACCTGTGTGGGCAGGAAGATTAGGGATGGAGACTGTGTAATAGGTTCTTGAAATGGGACGGCTGGGGGTTGGGAAGGTAGGGGTGCAGAGATGGAAGGGGGGAGGGCTCCCATCTAAAGAACCGGCGTCGGGTGCACGGGCGCTTGAGTAGCAACAGAAGATCGGGGCGAGTGAGCTGGCGTAGTAGGGGATGGGGGAAGTGCGGATGGGAGGGAGGGAATTGCAGAATTGATGTCAAGGTGCTGTGGATGGCTAGTGATGGATGTCAGATTTGAAGACAGAATACTCAGAAACTATGAATAATGAGGTGGGAATCCCAATGTGGGGAAGCTGTGAGGAGGGTGGTGTCAGAACATTTGGGATGCGAGGCAAAAAATAGGGTGATAAACAGGGAGGGAGGGTGACAGTTGAGTGGGATGGAAGGGAGTGAGGGGGCAAAGATGAGTAGAGGGGGACAAGAGGAGCAGAGGAGGGAAAGAGGAGCAGAGAGCGAAGGAGCCTCACAGGAGAAAAGTGGAGCTGGGCGGAAAAAGAGGGGCATAGGGGGAACAGCGGAGCTTCGGGTTGGAAGTGGTGCAGAAAGGAGGACCAGCGGAAGGGGGTAAGATGAGCATAGGGGGACAAGAGGAGCAGAGGGGGAGCGAGGGCGTACATGTGGGAAATAGAGGGCGTGCAACGAGGGTTTTCTGCGGGCGTGCAGGGGGACTGCGGAAGCACCGCCGTTGCAAGAGTGTGAGAGAGCGACGCCAACGGAGGCTGTCGCGAGACGCGGAGGCAGCGTGGAGAGAGAAGGTGAAGTCCCTCACGCCTCCTAGATCCTCACTGTTGGTGATTTGGAGGAAAGGAGGACGCAATGTGAGTAGAAAGGTGGACGTGCGGTGAGTTGAAAGGAGGACGCAAGGTGAGGAGAGAGGAGGACGCGAGGTGAGGAGAGAGGAGGACGCGAGGTGAGGAGAGAGGAGGACGCGAGGTGAGGAGAGAGGAGGACGTGAGGTGAGGAGAGAGGAGGACGTGAGGTGAGGAGAGAGGAGCACGCAAGGTGAGGAGAGGGGAGGACGCGAGGTGAGAAGAGAGGAGGACGCGAGGTGAGGAGAGAGGAGGACGCGAGGTACAGGAAAGAGGTGCACGCATGGTGTGGAGAGAGGAGCACGTGAGGGGAGGCGAGAGGAGCACGCTAGGGATGGTGAGAGGAGGACGCGCGGGGAGGCAAGAGGAGCGCGTGCGGGGGGGCGATAGGATGCCGCGCGAGTGGCGAGAAGAGCGCACGCGGGAGGCGAGAGGATCTCGCGCGGGCTTACCAGGCAGGTGCGCGCGCTGGGAGGAGAAACGTGTGCGTGTGCACGGGATTCCCGAGTGAGGAAACGTGGGCGCCCCTGTCAGGATAGTGGGAAGTGGTAGGGACCCGCATACGTCGAAAGTGGGTGGTAGCGGAGCCATTTCACGAAGCGTCGCAAGGAGACGGTCCCTCCCTTTAATCCAGTATGGTCGCATGTATTGTGAGGAGAGAGGCGCACGCAAGGTGAGGAGAGAGGAGCACGCAAGGTGAGGAGAGAGGAGGCCTCAAGGTGAGGAGAGAGGAGCACGCAAGGTGAGGATAGAGGAGCACGCAAGGTGAGGATAGAGGAGCACGCAAGGTGAGGATAGAGGAGCACGCAAGGTGAGGAGAGGGGAGCACGCAAGGTGAGGAGAGGGGAGCACGCAAGGTGAGGAGAGGGGAGAACGCAAGGTGAGGAGAAGGGAGCACGCAAGGTGAGGAGAGGGGAGCACGCAAGGTGAGGAGAGGGGAGCACGCAAGGTGAGGAGAGGGGAGCACGCAAGGTGAGGAGAGGGGTGCACGCAAGGTGAGGAGAGGGAGCACGCAAGGTGAGGAGAGGGGAGCACGCAAGGTGAGGAGAGGGGAGCACGCAAGGTGAGGAGAGGGGAGCACGCAAGGTGAGGAGAGGGGAGCACGCAAGGTGAGGAGAGGGAGCACGCAAGGTGAGGAGAGGGGAGCACGCAAGGTGAGGAGAGGGAGAACGCAAGGTGAGGAGAGGGAGCACGCAAGGTGAGGAGAGGGGAGCACGCAAGGTGAGGAGAAGGGAGCACGCAAGGTGAGGAGAGGGGAGCACGCAAGGTGAGGAGAGGGGAGCACGCAAGGTGAGGAGAGGGGAGCACGCAAGGTGAGGAGAGGGGAGCACGCAAGGTGAGGAGAGGGAGCACGCAAGGTGAGGAGAGGGGAGCACGCAAGGTGAGGAGAGGGGAGCACGCAAGGTGAGGAGAGGGGAGCACGCAAGGTGAGGAGAGGGAGCACGCAAGGTGAGGAGAGGGGAGCACGCAAGGTGAGGAGAGGGGAGCCCACGCAGGGTGAGGAGAGGGGAGCACGCAAGGTGAGGAGAGGGAGCACGCAAGGTGAGGAGAGGGGAGCACGCAAGGTGAGGAGAGGGAGCACGCAAGGTGAGGAGAGGGGAGCACGCAAGGTGAGGAGAGGGGAGCACGCAAGGTGAGGAGAGGGGAGCACGCAAGGTGAGGAGAGGGGAGCACGCAAGGTGAGGAGAGGGGAGCACGCAAGGTGAGGAGAGGGGAGCACGCAAGGTGAGGAGAGGGGAGCACGCAAGGTGAGGAGAGGGGAGCACGCAAGGTGAGGAGAGGGGAGCACGCAAGGTGAGGAGAGGGGAGCACGCAAGGTGAGGAGAGGGAGCACGCAAGGTGAGGAGAGGGGAGCACGCAAGGTGAGGAGAGGGGAGCACGCAAGGTGAGGAGAGGGGAGCACGCAAGGTGAGGAGAGGGGAGCACGCAAGGTGAGGAGAGGGGAGAACGCAAGGTGAGGAGAGGGAGCACGCAAGGTGAGGAGAGGGGAGCACGCAAGGTGAGGAGAGGGGAGCACGCAAGGTGAGGAGAGGGGAGCACGCAAGGTGAGGAGAGGGGAGCACGCAAGGTGAGGAGAGGGGAGCACGCAAGGTGAGGAGAGGGGAGCACGCAAGGTGAGGAGAGGGGAGCACGCAAGGTGAGGAGAGGGAGCACGCAAGGTGAGGAGAGGGGAGCACGCAAGGTGAGGAGAGGGGAGCACGCAAGGTGAGGAGAGGGGAGCACGCAAGGTGAGGAGAGGGAGCACGCAAGGTGAGGAGAGGGGAGCACGCAAGGTGAGGAGAGGGGAGCGCGCAAGGTGAGGAGAGGGAGCACGCAAGGTGAGGAGAGGGGAGCACGCAATGTGAGGAGAGGGGAGCACGCAAGGTGAGGAGAGGGGAGCACGCAAGGTGAGGAGAGGGGAGCACGCAAGGTGAGGAGAGGGGAGCACGCAAGGTGAGGAGAGGGGAGCACGCAAGGTGAGGAGAGGGAGCACGCAAGGTGAGGAGAGGGGAGCACGCAAGGTGAGGAGAGGGAGCACGCAAGGTGAGGAGAGGGGAGCACGCAAGGTGAGGAGAGGGGAGCACGCAAGGTGAGGAGAGGGGAGCACGCAAGGTGAGGAGAGGGGAGCACGCAAGGTGAGGAGAGGGGAGCACGCAAGGTGAGGAGAGGGGAGCACGCAAGGTGAGGAGAGGGAGCACGCAAGGTGAGGAGAGGGGAGCACGCAAGGTGAGGAGAGGGGAGCCCACGCAGGGTGAGGAGAGAGGGGCACGCGCAAGGTTGGCGATCGAAGAGCATTGGAGGTGAGGAGAGAGGGGCACGCGCGAGGAGGCGAGAGGAGCACGCAGGGTGAGGAGTGAGGAGCACGTGCGGGGAGGCGTGGGAGGCATGCAAGGTGAAGAGAGAGGAGAACGAGTAGGTGAGGAGAGAGGAGCACGCGCGGGGAGGCTTGAGGGGCGCGCGAGGGGAGGCGAGAGGAGAACGAGTAGGTGAGGAGAGAGGAGCACGCGCGGGGGGGCTTGAGGGGCGCGCGAGGGGAGGCGAGAGGAGAACGAGTAGGTGAGGAGAGAGGAGCACGCGCGGGGAGGCTTGAGGGGCGCGCGAGGGGAGGCGAGACGAGAACGAGTAGGTGAGAAGAGAGGAGCACGCGCGGGGAGTCGAGAGGGGCGCGCGAGGGATGGCGGGAGGAGGCTGCGCGGGGAGGCGAGAGGCGGCCGCGCGGGGAGGCAAGAGATTCGTGAGCATTGAAGGCGAGAGGAGCACGCGAGGGGAGGCGAGAGGAGCACGCGCGGGATGGTGAGAGGAGGCCGAGCGGGGCGGTAAGAGGAGCGCGCGCTGGGATGCGATGGGATACCGCGCGGAAGGCGAGAAGAGCGCGCGCGGGGTGGCGAGAGGTTCCCGCGCGGGCTTACCGGAACGGTGCGCGCGCAGGGAGGAGAAACGTGGGCTTGAGAAACGGGCTTCCCGCGCGTGGAATCGTGGGCCTGACTGTCAGGATAGCGGGGCGTTGTGGGGACACGACGACGCTGAAAGTGGGTGGTCGCGGAGTGGTGCACGAAGCGCCGCAATGGGGCACGACGACGAGGAAGCGATGGGAGGGGATAGGGGTAAGGACGATGGGAGGGCAATGGCGACGGGGACCACGGGGGAAACGAGGGTGACGGTGCGTCAAGGGGGAGGCCGATGTGAGGGGATTTCTTCCATACGCCTCTTGATCCTGTTTAGCGCGACGTCTCGTAATATGGGATTCGAGCATTTTACGCTTGTGACGAGCGCATTCCTAAATTTCGTGTTGCATCGGGGTTGAAGGTGGGAATGTGCTAGGGGCAAAAGCTTAGAGTCTCGCTTAGTAGCCGCACAGGCATTCCTGAATTACCATTTCTAGGCAAACTGTGCACAGGCAGTTCCCTTCTTCCTTCAGCAGGGGTGGTTGGAACTCTCGCCAAGTTGAAGCGTTCTGCTCTACGACGCGGTCTTTGTGGGGTGCGACGTTTTCTGGTAACCCCACTGGCTCGGGAGGTGTTCATTGGGCTCGGAAGGCAAACTGTGCACAGTTTGCCCTTTTTGATTTGTAATTCAGGTCTTGGGCTTTAAAAAGTTGACGTGAGGGAGTTTTGGTAGTTTGGGCTTTGGCGAGTGTTTCTGATTTCGTCAAATTCGTTTTTTTTCGCCAAACCCAGCCAGCCCCTCGTTTTTACCCTTGTGGGTGTGTCAGACCTCGAAAGTTCCAAATTGCAGGTGCGCTTCTTTTCAAAGCTTGCACAGCCCACTTCTTCAAGTTTTAAAAGCTTGACCCGCGCGGCCCGCAATTTGGGACACGGGCTTTAACTGCTGGGGGCGCGAATTAACGCGAATTGTCGCGAAATGTCACTGCAGCAGAATGAATCTGGTCCTCGCATGGTCCCTCGAACTCGAACAGTTCGAGTTCGAGGCAAACACTTACGGGTTCGCACCAAACCCTGAAGCGTTCGCCTATGACCACGAACACTCGAACACCGATTTTGTAAAAAATGTTTGTTGCAAACCGAACGGGTTCGGTTTGCCCATGGTAAGTGTTCGTTGCGATTCGTGGCAAACACGTTCGAGTTCGCCATTTGCTCATGTCTAGTCTTGGCGATCAAGTGACTTGGTGAACAAGTCAACAAGCTTGCAACGGAGGCAATGCGTTTAGACTTCAAATTGCCCGCGCTGCACTAGCTCACGAAGAAAGTAATGACCGATCTCGATGTGCTTGGTGCGGCTGTGGAGAACGAGGTCTTTTGTGAGTTTGATGGTGCTCTCGTTGTCACACCAAAGCGTGGGAGTTTGTTGAGGATACCTGAGTTCAGCAAGCAGGAAGGAGAGCCAACGGGCCTCCTGGGCACAATGGTCCTGGCATACAATTCTGGCTCACAGAAGACAGTGAGACTGAGGATGAATGAGTAGAGCGCCAACTCACAACCCATTGGCAAGGGTAAAACAATATCCCTGAGAAGAGTGTCGATTTTTCTGGTTATCATCCCATGAAGAGTCATTGTATCCCACAAGAGTAATGGGGGAGGAACCCTCAAGAGTGGGGACATGATCCAGTGTGGCTTTGAGATAGCAAAGCACCCGCTTAACAGCAGACACGTGCTGGTGGGTGAAGCGACCAGGTGCACCGTAGCGAGACAGTATACTGACTGGGTAGGCCAGATCAGGCCGAATATACATCATCGCGTACATCAGGGACCCAACAAGCTCGGGATACGACTTGTCACATGGCTCAGGTGAGGGAACGGAGGGTGCAACGAGATGGTGCTGCAGAGCAAGTGGAGTATGAATCGGTGATGCCTCTTGCATCCCAAACTGCTCCAGAATGTTGTTGATGTAAACCTTATGCGAGTGGGTGATGGTGCGAGCCGTTCGATCGCTTGTGACCTCCATGCCCAAATTATTTGTCAGTTTTCCGAGATCCTTCATGTCTAGCTTTTCACCAAGTGCAGTTTTGACTCCAGCTAACTCAGTTTGATCCTTGGTGACAAAGATTATGTCAATGAAATAGACCAGGATAAAGAATTAGGATGGAGTTGTTCGGACGAACAGACCAGGATCAGAGGTGGATGGGTGATAGTCCGAGGACAGTAAGGTGCTCTTGAGCTTGTTGTGTCATTCAGTGGGTGCCTGCTTGAGGCTATACACTGACCGATTCAACTTCCATAGCAGGAAGGTGGCGTGTCAACGTTGCAGCAAAGTGGCTTGCCAGCGTTGCACCAAGGCGGCCTGCCAGCACTACAGCCGCATGTGAACATGTGCGTCACCTACCAAGTAGGTGCAGGTCTTACTTGGCATACCGTTGCGTGCACGTCGTGCATGTGATGCACATTGCGCAGGTGCCACATTGTAGAGCATGTGATGCCATTTCCGCAGGTTTACTTTCGCCAAAACCGCCTGGGGCGAAATTCACGCACATGCAGAATTTCGCCGACCAGTTACTTTGGTCGACTAGAAAAATGCCACTCAACCGACGCCACCGACGAATACATTCCGTCGGTCGGCGCCCCGTCGACGATCAATTTCGTCGGCCACCAAGGCTCAGCGCCGCCCGCTGAGGCTCCCTGTTTAGCTGCGCCGATGCTCCCTGTTCAGCTGCACCGATGAAAAACTAACATGCTGGATTCCTTGAACTAAAATCGAAAGCTGCCACGATATGGCTGAAAAACAGAATCTTATTGAAATTGAAGATGAAATGCGCTGCTGTTGATGGAAGAAGGGATGAGCATGAAGTGATGAACAGGGAAGACAACAGAGGAAATCGCTAAGTGACTTAGTCCGAAATTGGAAAAGCGGATGCCGAGAGGAAGAGGCGCATCGCAACACCGAGGATCGGACTCCGCGTGAGTGGAAATTAGTAGCTCGATACCATGTCAGAAAAGAGGCTTTGAATCGATTGACTGAGAAAGAAGGCTCCTGGCCTTAAGCACACGCAAGGTTGGTATGAGATGAGGAAGGAAATGGATGGGTTGGGAATCAGACCAAATCTCCAATGTTGAGTTGGGAGATCTGTTGGACGGGTGGGAACCCGAACCAGATAAGGTTGGGACAAATAACATCATTCTAACAATGTGCGCATCACTGCTGGCACTGCTCCACTGCCCATGCACTCTGCATGCCGTTCTGCAGTCTCCATCCCTTTGCCACTCCTCAAGTGTCCCTCCTTGCTGCACCAACATTCCGACGCACCTCATTGAATTCACGCGTTTGTTGCTTCAGCAGAACTCGCAACTGCCATATGCAATCTCAACCAAATAATCCCACTCTACATTTTGCCTTCCTCATGCCATCCAACCACCCTATGTGAGCAGGGAGCTTCGCTATAATAAACTCGCCGGGCCTATTCCAGCCACACTGGGGAGTCTTTCTCAGTTGGAAGTCCTGTAAGCTGAGTGGGATGGGTTGCTCTTCTAGCCAATGCTGGGGTCACATATTTCATTGAGGTGCTGTGTTGGTGGTGGACAGGTGCTAGGGAGTTGAAGATGTTTGGGGGATGCTGAGATGTGTGTGGCTTTCATTGCAACACTCATCATTCACCTGCATCGTGTGCTCCATGCACCACTGCTGCACTGCAATATTACCACATGACAAGGTGTGGGCAATATTAGAAGGATGAGTGTCACGAAATCCCACGATTGTCGGCTCATCATCATCTCATCAAGGTGTGTGCTTCTTACTTGCCCTCCTACCATGCCCCCTTTTCTCTTCTCCTCACTCCCTACTCAATCAATCCACACAGGTCATTTTGGAAAAACAGTCTCACGGGCTCCATTCCCGAAAGCATTTCTGCACTCACGGCACTCACATACCTGTAAAGAGGCACACTGGGTTTGCTCCACCTGCGTGCTGCTCTGCCCACTAGGTGCTGCATGCCATGTGCGCATCACTGCTGGCACTCCTCCACTGCCCATGCACTCTGCATGCCCGCTCCTCCTTCTGTATCCCTTTGACACTCCTCAATCGTCCCTGCTGCACCAACCTTGTGGACGCGTTTCATTGAATTCACGTGTCTATTGCTTCAGCAGAACTCACAACTGTCACTGTACAATCTCAACCGGTACAATCTCGGTCCTCTACATTTGCCTTGCAATAGCCCTTCCCAACTGATAATGCCTTCCATGTTCCTGCCACCCATAATGGACAGAGATTTGAGTCTCGGCTCTTCACACCCAAGTCACTCACCCCCCCACCCCACCACACAGGGATCTTAGCTCTAATTCCCTCAGGGGCTCCATTCCCAACAACATCTCCATGCTCACGGCACTCACATTCCTGTAAAGAGGCACATTGGGTTTGCTCCACCTGCGTGCTGCTCTGCCCACTGGGTGCTGCATGCCATGTGCGCATCACTGCTGACACTCCTCCACTGCCCATGCTCTCTGCATGCCCACTCCTCCTTTTGTATCCCTTTGCCACTCCTCAATCGTCACTGCTGCACCAACCTTCTGCACGCGCCTCATTGAATTCACGCGCCTCATTGAATTCTCAACCGGTACAATCTCAGTCCTATACATCTGCCCTGCCCTAGCCCTTCCCACTTGTCATGCCTTCCAAGTTCCCGCCACCCATAATGGACAGAGATTTGAGCCTCTCGGCTCTTTACACCCAACTCACTCACCCCCACCCCACCACACAGGAATCTTGGCTATAACTCCTTCACGGGCTCCATTCCCGAACGCATCTCCACACTCAAGGCACTCGCAGTGCTGTAAGAGGCACACTGGGTTTGCCTCACCTGCGCGCTGGTCTGCCCACTGGGTGCTGCATGCCTTGTGCGCATCACTGCTGGCACTCCTCCATTGCCCATGCACTCTGCATGCCCACTCCTCCTTCTTTATCCCTTTGCCACTCCTCAATCGTCCCTGCGGCACCAACCTTCTGGACGTGCTTCATTGAATTCACGTGTCTATTGCTTTAGCAGAACTAACAACTGTCACTGTACAATCTCATCTCAACTGGTAAAATCTCGGTCCTCTACATACGCCTTGCAATAACCCTTCCGAATTGATAATGCCTTCCAAGTTCCCGCTACCCATAATGGACAGAGTTATAAGCCTCTCGGCTCTTCACACCTATCTCACTCAACCCCACCCCACCACACAGGGCTCTTTGCTATAACTCCCTCACGAGCTCCATTCCCGACAGCATCTCTTCTCTCTCGTCAATCAATTACCTGTAAGAGGCACACTGGGTTTGCTGCCCACTAGGTGCTGCATGCCATGTGGGCATCACTGCTGGCACTCC